TTGAATCATAGATTGGTCTCGGGTCTTGTTATGGAATTCCTTGTGTTTGACAAATGGGACACACTTTGAGCCTTACATACCACTTTTAGACTACTTGTGTGGGGGTCAGATGCAGGGTTCTATTTGGTTCTAGATGCAGATGGAAGTGGTTAATCAAGACGATGTGTGCAAGCAAAGATTAGCTTAATATGGTATTTAAAGATATGAATGAATCGCACCTCGGTCAGAGAGAATACCCCTTTGTACTCCCGAGTCTTGCCTGGACCTTGCATAGTTAGATTCTTACCACCTTTTTGAGATAAGTCATCCTTTTCTAGGGGTCTATAGTAGATAATTAGATAGGTTTTGTTTATCACACCTTACACTAAGGTACTTGATGAACTTTACGACGGGTCCCCCAATTCACATTTTTTGGACCACAGTTTTTTGGTAACATCCACTTTTGAGTCATATCCCACCTTTTATAGTAGATCTTGACATATTTTCAATGATCAACAAGTGTTCATTTAGCCTCTACCTAATACTCTTTTTTCATATTTATGGAGTAATATGCTTTATGGTGAAAGTCCCTAGACCTTTAAAAAGAAATACATGAAGAAAAGCAAACAAAAAAATGAAGAAAATTAGAAAAGCAAAGAAAAAGAAACAATAAAAGAAGATTCCAATAAATGTAACAAAAAAGAAAGTCAAAGATAAAAACAACAAAAATGAATAAAAGAATCAACACAACAAGAAGAATAAGAGTTCAAGCTTTCTCTCCTTTAAAAAAATTATAAAATTAAAAAGAAAAAGAAAAAGAGGAGAGAAGTAAGAAGATCGAAAACCAAAAGTTCAAGAATGAAGATTTAGGATGTCTTATGTCTATTTCTTAGATTGAGCTGGAATTTTTTCTTTTTGATTTGGTGAGGAAAGGTCATGGCGGTGAGATGTTAGAATGTAAAGGATAGTATAATGGATAAACCCTCAAAGTTGGATGTTTGCCCCGGAGGTCCGCGCTTCAAACCCTATTTTGTTATCATACACTTTAGCATGTCCAATGTAGGAAGCATCGTGTATGGAGGCATCTTTTTTCATGCATTATGGTCTGCATTAATGTATTCAGAGTGCCCTTACTTGGAGCACATCCCATGTTTCCTTTGTCTTGTATAATCTAATGATTGCCTCATTCAAACGGGGTTTATTCGCCCTTTAAGTTGTTCGAGAATGTGGTTTATGACTCTAAAGTGGGAAACATTTAGAAGACACATATGGTCTATACAAGACCAACTCTAACCATGTTGACTGATTTTGACCAAGTTCTGTGGTAACCTTTATTTTTTCCCTTTTTAGCGTAGCTTATCTCGAGTTCATTTTAGTCATGTTCTTACTTGAGGACAAGTAAGACTTAAGATTGGGGTGATTTAATAGTTTACTTTATTTACTTCTTTTATGTAGTTTATTTTAGCATTTTTCGTCTTTTTTTGTTGTTTTTGCATTGCATATTTTATCCTTTCTCTATCTTGGATCGTATCAGGTGCTTTCTCTTTTGCATAAGGTCTTTTGCAGGTTTTTTGGAGTCTCGTTGTGGTTGCGGATTTTCTTGTTGTTGAGTTGTTGGGCTTTGTGGACTTTTGAGGAGCTATTAGGCTTTACCAGATCCATATTGGAAGTTATGGGCTTGGTGTGTTGAAGACTTGGATGAGTCATTGATACTTGAAGATAGTTTTGACTATCCATTTTGATACTAGACGATGATTCGTCCATATTTGAATGATGTGAGGTGTGAAGAGGACCAAAGGAATATCAGGTAGTGGAGTGGAGTAGTAGGGGAATCAACTAATGAGAATTCATCATCATATGTGTGGGAGAGGTCTTCACACACGTAATTATGTGCGCCCACCCGCATAATTGCCTTCTCGAGGGCATTTTGGTCATTTGGCCGATCATTTACCTTGGGGGTTAGGTTTTGCATCCCCTAGATCTATTTTAGACACCATTGGTGTAACTTGGGCGATTTTGAAGAGCTTGAAGCATTCATCATCTCATTCTTCTAGTATTTACTAATTCCATGATGTTAAAACACTTTTATGATCATTGTTTTGTTGCCATAAGTAACTAGATACTTTATTTTGGTTGACTTAGGCTAAAACCCTTGAATATTTGTGAGTTTTAGAGGATTCAAGTATGTTTATTATTTAGCTAATGTTTATGATTCCTAATTCTTTATTCTTATGCTTGTTGAATACGTTTGTTCACGAGCTTGGTATTTGATAAGTAATTGTTAGTCTTTTTATTTGATTATGTAAATGATCATTGAATTGGTATAGAACAAGTGTTTTATGATGGTAGAAATCATCTTTGGCTTATGGATCATGGCTCCTTTATAGTTGTCTAAGCATTAACATCCTCTAGGAATTGAGAATTCCTTCATTTTTAAGGCAAATCATTTTATTTGAATTCAGTTGATTCAATTAAATATTTGACTTTGATTAAGAAGGAGTGTTGTGGGCTTCCCCTACCTCCATACTACCTTTAAGGAATTTTGGCATATCGTGTTTCATGATTGCTAGAACCAATTTGGGTTGAATGATAAACTTACATATTGAATCCTAACGATAAGCAAACAAGTATTCATGGTGGTGAATTGCCTTAGTTGACCAATTTTTTTATCATATTTGAGCATCTTACCATCTTACATAATTGCAAGTATTTTAATTCTTCAAGTGTTTTAGTTTTCAAACAAATCACAAAACCCACTATTTTAGTTTAATTTTAGTTGTTTAGTTTTACTTTACTTGTTCAATTAGATTGCATTGGTAACTGAATACAACTATTTTTCCGTGGATCAATCCCCTTTTTATCATTATATTATGTTTTATTTGCAAGTAAAATGTTGAATTTTGTTTGGTGACTTGACATCATAACACTAAATGTGTACAGTTTAAACAAACTGAACGGGTAAATATGGACGAAAAAAAACGTTGTGGCTAAATATGTGTAGATTAAAAAGTTTCTTACCCTCTTAAGTAATTATCCTAGAAATTACTAATAATTTACAATTTACGTAGGATACAAGCATTAAGTAGGAGTTTATGATAGTTTTTACCTCTGGCAAGCATAAAGTAGAAATTAGAATAATTTTCAATTTTGGCCGGATTGTTATCAATTTTATATTGTGGGGTCAAAACTTAAAAGTAAAAGACTCGATTGATTTTGGGTGTCAATCGGAATCTAAATAAAACATTTCTAATGGTTTATATCCGTCCATCAATAAAGATGCTTTTGCTAATGGTTGCACTATTTTTACATCAATAGTAGAATTCAATTCATAAAATAAATAAAAATTATTCACAGGAATTAGTGAACATTAAAAAAAAATTAAAGAACAAATCAATAAGATTTAACAGAATTATGGAACATTAAAAATTAAGGAACCAAGTATCTCCAACGATAAAAATATGAGATCGAACATTAAAGTTTATGGAGCCAAGCACTAAGACTAACATGAATGGCGACATAAGAGTCTCCAACCATTTTGCTAAAGAAAGCATCCATATAAGGCAGTGATCCGTACATAACAATTTTTGGCCATACAAAACAATTTGTGATTTATGGAGTTGTACAGTACAAACATATAAAACACAAATTGTTGACTATGGCTAAAAATTATTGTGTATGGATCATCACTCATAAAAATAATGGCAAACATAATCCAAAATAGTTCATTTTGTTGGACACTTAACATGTGTTGAAAAATAACACCAAGAATAAAATATACAAAGAAATTATATATATATATATATATATATATATATATATATATATATATATATATATATATAAAGTATTTGTCGTGTATAAGAATTAATATGTATGTAAGTGTTGATTTATTATGCACATCCTTAGAGTTAAGCAAGTACTATTTTGGGGTCTGTTTGTCATATAAACATCTATCAATAAACATAAATTATTATCTAGAAAATACATTTCCATTACCATTACTACAAGTATGAACATTACATTTATACCTACATGCGATATATTCATATGATCATAACTTACATTGACAAATTTCGGATTTCATCATTTCCAAAAAAGAAAAAATCCTAACATATCCCTACCACTTACATATACACCATAACACCATTACAATAACAATAAACAAAACCCAACTGTCAATGCTTGAAAACCAGACCGGACCGACATGTTCGACTGGTTCAACCATAAATTGGCTAGGTTATCGGTTTTTTAACCACAAAAAACTGTTTGTATGCCAAACTGTTAAAAACCAACGGTTTTGCTAAGAACCGTAAAATAACATGTCTAGTTCAAGTGGGTTTTAAACTGGTTTATAAAATAAATTTGGTTTTCTCATATACACCTCAAAGGAGCAAGTTAGCTCAAAGGAGCCATTCGATTGAAATGAGGTTTTGGTTTGTTTTTTTTAAGCACTGATAATGGTATCTTTTATAGATTCAGTTTTCCATCTAATTCTTTCAACCCATTGATATAGGATGCCTCAAATGTACATCCATATTTCTTTACACTACTACGTCCTTTAGAGTTTACACACATATTAAATATATTTGCGTTATCTATTTTTTACACAACATACATATCAAGTATCAACTATGTGTTATATATATGCACTTCATATATTTAATAAACATATATAAAACACACACGCACGCACGTGCACACCCCCCATATATATATATATATATATATATATATATATATATATATATATATATATATATATATATTATATATATATATATATATATATAGAGGTTCAAATGTTTACAACAAGTATTGTGTGAATGGATGCACCAATCACAATTTAGCAAATTATTAATTATTTTATTTAATATGTGAGGGTAATTATGTAATCTTTCATTTTAATTCTTTATTTAGTCTGATTCTTATCCCTTTATATTAGGCAATGATTTATGATTGATTTAGTTATCATTAATTTAATTTTATTTATATACTCGATGCAAACGTCCCTCCACACATATCACAATTTTCGATTCCATTAGTTGCTGATCAATTTGTTTTACACAATCGATGGATGTTCATACTGGAAATCGGAACCAGGTATTCATACATTACTAACAACATCTCTCTATAATAATGAAGATATTTTTCAAACGTCCCCCATACACCCTTTTACTGTTTTTACATATACATATGTATCAAATCTGATAATCTTCCAGGAAAATGAAGATCAAAATCCCGGGAAGGATCTGGGTAATGTCAATGATCCCAAGAATCCGGTGAATGAAGTTGTGAAGAAAAAAAGAAGATGTAAAATATGCTTTGGATTTGGTCATGATAGCAGGAAATGTCATTTTGGATTGAAGAAAGCATAGAACTTCAAGAAATTCATCAAATTCATCGTTTTTATATATTATTTACTTTGATTTCAGTAAAATAAAAGTATGTTTTTGATGAATTATATGGTATTATTAAGTTTCAGTTCAGTGTAATAAAATTATCGTTTGATGAATTCTAGGTGTTTTTCTTTAATTATTATGTTTACAACTAATAAGATGTCTGCGTTTTTCTGGTATATTTATGTTTCATAGGATCATACAGTTTATCATTCCAACAGAATGTCAGAGTAAAACACTACAGTTCTCATTCCAACATAATGTCAAAAAATAATGTTCATTATATTTCATACAATATGTTTGATGTTTCATAAAATCAAAACACATAATGTCAAAAAATAAAAATTGTAAACAATGAGCAATATAAATAATTGAACTTAAACAGTTTAAGAGTTAATTGTCTTGTAAGCCATATTACTATAATATTCTAGTAGATTGATTTGGAGATAACACACAGTAAACATTTTTGTTAGCCATATTGCTATATAATTCTTTCAGAATGATATTCAATGTGTGCATTGATTCGAGGTAACACAAATTGATAAGTTTTATAAGTCATATTGGTAGAGTATTCTGATAGAATTATGTCATTATGATAATATGCAGAGTTTTAGAATCCATATTGATATATCATTCTAATAGAATTATGTCGTTAATAAAATATTGTGTAACTTTTTAAAAAAAATACATAATAATATTGTAAAGTAATTAATTTAATGTACTGTTGGAATTTTTTATATTTGGAATATGAATATAGTATCTTATGAATATTTTTATCGTTATCATGTTTTAAAAAAGAATCAAATCGGAATCATTTATTTTTATCAGTGATCCCTAATATCAAGCATTTTAATTTGCATAGAATCCGTTTTCATCCCTATTTATTTTGTATGACAGTTTATAATATTTTATTTTTTCAACTTCCAAAGCATATACAAACACTATCGAAATTTCTTAGGTATGGGCGATCAAGAACCAGATGTCAATAATCATATTTATGAGGAACATTATTTGGCTAGTGATGATGACAATGGAATTGAAGATTTCGATTTTCCTGATAATGATACACTATATGATGGCGGATTTCAAATAGAGAAAGCAGTAATCCTAATTTAGGTGAGTTTTTGAATATTTTGTTTAATTTTTCATTGTATTTCAGATTCTATATTGTAACAAACATGTTTAATGTTAAATGTTAATATTTTCATTGATGAACATACAGAGGACGCAAATCATGCAGAAGACGAAAATCACTTCGTTGATGAAGATACAGAGGTTAATATTGATTTCAGTGAAGGTACTAAATTCAATTCAGGATATTGAAATTTTTACAGAAAAAATAAAATTATTTCAGAATAATATTTATATAATTCTTTCAGAATAATTTTGTATTTGCTATGTTTAAAGAGGACAACCACATGTTACACATGATTACGTTTCTCCTGGTGGCACCTTGTATTGGACCCCGATTGTTTCAGACGATATCAAACCAAAAGTTACATCAAAATTTAATTCATATGGTGAAGCAGTAACAATGTATAGAAACTATGCATTAGAATCTGGTTTTGATGTCAGGCTTGGAAGAGTCCAAAAAACGAAAAATGGGATTATTACAAATAGACATCTTGTATGCAATCGGGAAGGTAATCCAAATACTAGTAAAGTAGATACTCTGGACATTCAGCATAAAAAGACTCAAAGAAGGAAAGATTTATTTAGGAGGAATTGTAAAGCGAAAGTTGTTTTAGAAATAATTCCCGGTACTCTTAGATATGTCGTGAGTGATTTTGTCGAGCAACATAATCACGAGTTGTTTAGCAAGAGCAATATGTACTTATCTCGTTCAAAGAGAAAACTTGATTATTCCCAGGAAATTTTCATTCATAATTTGTCAAAACAAAATATTGGTCCTGTAAAAGCACATAGACTGTATAGTGCTCTTCAGGTCGGTCCTTCGGTTCGAGGTGGATTGGTTTCTGATTTCAAGAATGCTAGGAGAAATCTTAATTGTTACATAGGTGGGAGGGACGCGAAATTCCTTGTTGACAAGATGAATGACAGGACGAAAAATGTCCCATCATTTACTTTTGAGTATAAAGTGTTGAACAAAAGATTGAATGCTCTATTCTGGGCTGACGAAACAGCAAAGTATAACTACAATTCGTTCGGAGACGTTGTATCACTCGATGCCACATTCAGCATGAATAAGTATTTCTAACCTTTAATACTTTTACAATAACAATTTCATTGTTTTCAGTTATGTAAACTAATATTTTATTTTTAAAATAGGTATGATATGGTTTTTGTTCCATTCACTGGCATCGATAACCACAAAAAAATGTGTAACATTTGGTGCTGGACTTTTAAGTAAAGAAGATGGAGTTTCTTATGAATGGTTGCTTAGAGCTTTTTTGAAAGCTTTTAGAAAACAACCTCAATTGGTTATATCTGACCAAGATCCAGCTTTGAAAAAAGCTATAGATAAGGTTTTCCCGTTGGCACATCATAGGTTATGTATGTGGCATATAACAAAGAAGTTGCCAAATAAGGTATGCATCAAACGAATATTATTCTTATTTTATGTTATGATTCTACAATTATTTTCTCATATTCTAACAGAATCAATTGCTTTAACTCTTAAACTGTACTCATCCTCATGAAATTTCATTTTATACAGATTTTATCAATTGAAGATGCAGCCACCAATCAAAAATTTCGAAAGCGTTTTCACTCTATAATTTGGAATTCTAAGCTGGAACCACATGAATTCGAGAATGTATGGCGTATGATGTTGGAGGAGTTTAAAATTACAGATAACAGTTGACTGAATACTATGTATGGTTTGCGAAGATCTTGGATCCCCGCATTTTTCAAGCACATTCCAATGTCTGGTCTTATGCGAACTACATCACTGTCTGAAAGTCAGAATTGGTCATTTCAAACCACCACATTAACCGGTTCTTATCTTATCATGTTTATGATGACATTTGAATCAGTCATGGAACGACAAAGACATAACCAAATTCTAAATGATTTTAATACTGCCACCACTTTTCCTAAATTCATTACCCGTAGTCCGAATGAACCTCATGCTTCAAATGTATATACGCGCAAGATTTTTTATCAGGTTCAGAAAGAGATATCAAGAGCTTAAGATAATTGTTTCCTAAAAAATGTGATATCTTCCAACGGTGTTGACACAGTTATTGTTTTGGAGAAAAAAACAACATAACTACTAGGCAAACAAATGATGTCGATGTTGATGATAAAGATGAGGAATACAATTACGATTGTCTTATAAGGGATACTGAATACACTGTATATTTTTTTTCACTTTAATTGTCATTTTATCATTTGAATTTAAACACTAAAAACTTACAACTTAAACATACTCACTAATCATCTTATATATTCCAGGTCACACACTCAACCAAAGATGGTTCATTCAAATGTACTTGTATGCATTTTGAACATGTAGGGATCTTATGCAGACAGATATTCTGTGTGTTTAAGTTTTATGGCATTGAACAAATTCCTGAAAAGTATATTTTGAAACGTTGGCGTAGGGATGTTATTCCAACAGAGTTACTGAAAAGACGCTTCAATAGTTCTTTTGACGATTCTAATTCCGACATGACTGCTATTGATATTTTTTCAACTGTTGACCGTTGTGTGTCTTTTTTAAGCCATGATGCAGCTAAGTTAAAGTTATACCTTGACGAGCAGAATAAGTTGAAAAAAAAATTCGTAGACGATTGTCCAACTCATGATCTACCGAACAGAGCAGAACAGTTCAAGAAGCTTCTAGGCGTAGTAGGTCCTGATGTAGTATCTGATGTTAGCGACATTCAGAATCCTACAGATATTCGTAACAAAGGCTCCGATAGTCGTGGGAAAAGATTAAAATCTACAAAAGAGATGATTGAGAAAGAAATCTCAAAAGTTAAGAGAAAGTGTGCTACATGTCAACAGATGGTTCATCATGACAAAGGAAATTGTTCTTTAAAGAACGTCGAGAAATAATTTCCTTGTTTGTTTTTTTTATTGGTTTTAGTAGAAGGACATTTCATTTTAATTTTGTCGGTTCACATTCAATGTTATCTTTTATGTCGTTTAATAAAGTATTCACCTTCATTGCTAGTGACGATGACATTGTAAATTAATCTAACAATATTTATCTTTTCTTATTACTTAAAAATAATCATATCACGTAATACAAATATTCATTTCATCAATTGTATAAATTCATTATTTTCCTTACTTACAGCTAGTTATACAACTTTTTTCAAACATTTTAAGATTGATTTTCATTTTAACAAAAATGTTTTATTGCTTATTGTAGTATACAAACAATGTGAACAATTTATATACAAGTATTCATTATATCATATTTTCTTTCAAAAAGACTATATATTACTTAAGCATATTCATTCCAAAAGAATTTTATTTCTAAACCTACATTTACCTTCTACATCCAATTTGCATACAAGTATAACATATTCTGCTAGAATAATAACAATATAAACTACTCTATATGCATAAAAAAATTGTAAAAACAGCCCAGGCACACAACATAAGAAGTCGATGAAATTGACTTCATATTTCCTAAACATAACCATTCCAAAAGAATTTTATATTTTGATTTTTTATGCTTTATACATGTACCCACACATACTTAATTTCAAAAAGGGTACATTATACCTAAAGATACATTTGTCATCTACATCCAATCAATAGAAAATAAAAAAACTATAACATATTCTATCAGAATCATAACATTTACTATATTATATCAGCATCAAAAAACTGTAAAAAACAGTCCAGTCACACAACATTATTAACAACAACCTTGAATTATATTAACAACATTATTACAAAAAATACATCAACACATACATTATCAACAACAACCTTGCATTATATTTAAAAAATCTTCATAATTTAATTCTAAATTTTATTCATAAACAGCCCATCAAAAACTGATTATTAAACTACTTCCCATTCTACCAAAATTGCTTTTCACAATGCACAACATCATCATCCCAGAATTTAAACAATGCATCAACACAACCTTTATATCAAAATTAATATTCGATTATAAGATATAAGGTTAAATACTGATAACAATACGTCATAACTTCTGAAAGACAAAGTACTTTTTCAAACATCTAACATAATGCATAATCGTATTTGAACAACCACAAAAAAAAAGTTCAGCTCATGCCATGTCAATATTTATCTTAAAAAAACCAAACTACCACTTCAAATTCTTACCTACGACCCTTTGCTTTTCTTTTTTTCTTCCTATTTTCAGCTGACTGTTGAAGAAGCATATCTTGTTCCAAAATATCCAGCTTACGAAACGCTTCAAAATCTTTAACTATCATAGTCTTAAACTTATTGAACTCAGCTGTCAACAATCTTGCCATGTATTTCGTCCTTAACTTAATTACAACACTCACATCACCAAGCATTTTACCTGTAAGACCACACTCCCAACGCCCTTCATTTTCCCCCATGTAACTTTCCATATGCCTCATGAGGTATACTCCACATTCTGTTCCAGCTTTTTCTACTTGCCAATATATGTTCATCACCCGTCCCGCCTTAAAAGTTAAGGCTTTTGCCATTGGATGATGTTGTGATGTCAAGTAGTTGCAAAACAGTTTTTTCTGTCATTAAATACAACATATACATCAAACATAGTCTTATAACATTCTTTAGAATGAAAACCTAGTGATCAGAATTTTATTGATTATCTTACCACCAGGTTTGGTATCATGCCATACTTTCTTTCCAAAGTTCCTGTTCTCTTCACATGATCTACTATGTAGTATAAACTTGATCTCAGATCAAAGATGAGTAAGTAATACTTCCCATCATCAACTATTGGGAAGAAAACCTTGTACACATTAAAAAGAAGTTAATTTAATATTAAGTGATGCAACAAATATTACATTTACTAAATAAACTTACAAGCGCAACATCTCTAAAACTTGGCTTGACATCAAATTTCTTAATGTAGATTCGCAATAGAGTAGCAAAAAGCCTACATTTCAGATCTTCCGACTTTAATTCATTCAATATCTCTTCTGTCTGTAAAAACCCACATCAACAACAATATTAATTTCTACAAAAATAAATTTGAATTTAAAATTAATTTACAAAATAAATTCATACCACAATAGTTGTATCGAAGAAAAATCTTGAAAGCGATGATTCATCCTTGTAGTTCTCCATTTTATTTAAAAACGCAGCCCAACAATCAATTACTTTAGAATGCAAAAACATCCCTTGATTGAATTGATATGCAAAACCCTGGTGCAGCAAATGACCTGTTCCAATGTCCCAAATCTCATCCCTGTGACAAAAATTATATATAAAATCAATCTAAATACATTCAAATTTATATTCTAAAAATATAATAAGTGGGTCATATATATATGAACCCATCATCTCTATTAGATGCAAAAACTGAATTGCATATCCCTGTTTCATCCTTAGTCAGTTTATCCCCAACCTTAACAATTCTTTCAATATAGGGCGAATGAAATATTTTTGCCTTTTTAGGGATACGTTTTTCCCTTTTGTCATTATCATCATCTTCTGCAGCATTATCAACAGCTTCTCCTATATTTCTTCCAACCACATTATCCCCACTGATTCCTGACATTAGTTGTTTCCTGCTATACACATGTAACTCAGTTTCATCCAACAACTTAATCATTTCCTCATTCACCCCTGGAAGTCGATGAAACTGAGTCATTGTTAAAGAATTGGTATCAACAGGTGTACTATAATTGACTTCTTTTTCTACATTAACTTCAGTAAGTATCAATCCTCTAACAGGTGAACTATTTCCTTCACCGCCATCACCTACATCATTCATATTTAACTCATTACAACACTCAGGCTCATGAACTTTTTTGTTACTTGCCCCTTCTTGCACTTCCTTGAAAAGCTCATTCATCTTTTCCATCCACTCATTCAGCACCACACTATCAGGGATTTTTTCCAAACCATCCTTCAACGCAACCTCCATAGTACTTTTCTCTGTTAGAATTACCCCATAACTATGCTCTATAACAGCAACGTATGCCTGCAATACATATAATTAATTATTAATTACATTACAAGAATATTTCACCATCTTTAATATTATAAATGTATAGACAAATTAGTAGTATTCCACAAATTGTAATTTATATTCTACCAGATTAAATAATTATCCATAAAGAAACATAATATTACATCCTCATCTCCAAAATCCCTCTTAAAGCTGAGCAGTTGTTGTTCTTCACCTCTTGTTTCATCCCTCATATCGACATCATCATGCTCCTCCCGAAATTGCCTCTCGAACCCTCCCAAACTGATTTCCAATCGTTGAATCTCTAATAATTTAGCACCATTAATATGCCCAATAAAAGGAAGCCTTTTATCTAACTTGATAGAATACTTCATGTTATACACGTACACCAACCAAAAAAAACATTAACTTAATCAATACATCAATAATAAATCAATACCAAATCTATATTTTCATATAACACTATTTCAAACTTACAATCAGGAGTGTAATAGGACCACTGTAGTAGCTTGATTTGTCATCCCTTTTCCATAGTTTTTTCCTTGATCCCAAACAATCAAGCATATATTTACA